GACTAAACTAGTAGACCAGCAAAATGCTGTGGATGTAGAATACTTAGATTTCAGAAAGGCATTTGATAAAGTAAACCAAAACCTCCTCCTTGGTAAGCTAGAAAAAGGTGGAATTGACAACATCACCACCAGATGGATCTGTAGCTGACTGGCAAACCGTACTCAAAAAGTAGTCCTCAATGGCACTACATCCACATGGAGAGAAGTAAACAGTGGGATACCACAGGGCTCCATCTTAGGCCCAGTACTCTTCAATATCTTCATAAATGACTTAGATGAGGGAATTGAAGGGGAACTCATCAAATTTGCAGATGACACACAGAGAGAAAAGAGACAGAGAGAAAGAGAGAAAGGGAGAGATAAAGAGAGAGGGAGAGAAAGAGAGGGAGGGAGGGAGAGAGAGAGGAAAGAGAGAGAGGAAAGAGGGAGAGAAAGAGAGAGGGAGAGGGGGAGAGAGAGAAAGAGAGAGAGAGAAATAGAGGGGGAAAGAAAGAGAGAGAGAGGGAGGGAAAGAGAGAGAGGGAGAGAGAGGGAGGGAGAGAAAGAAAAAGAGAGAAAGAGGGGGAGAGGAAAAAGAGAAAAAGGGAGAGGAAAGAGGGAAAGAAAGAGAAAGGGGGGAGAGAGAGAGGGAGGAGAGAGAGGGAGAGAGAGAAGAAAGAGATAAAGAGAGAGGAAAGAGAAAAGAAAAAGAGGGAGAGAGGAAAGAGAGAAAGAGAGAGGGGGAGAGGAGAGAGAGAGAGAGAGAGAGAGAGAGAGAGAACTCATGCACAGAAGCCTCTATTTCTTTTTAATTAAATGCTTCAATCAAGCTCCCCTCCCCCTTGTGCGTGCGCATGCACGCGCACAGGTTTTGTGACTCCCAGTGTTTTCTTTTCTCTGGGAAACGGGTCCAAGTGCTTCTTTGAGTGTTTAAGGTTGCAGACTCCTGCCCTATACCATTTCAGACAAATGGCTGTCCAGTCTCTTCTTAAAAACTTCCAGTGTTGGAGCATTCACTGCTTCTGGAGGCAGGTTGTTCCGCTGGTTGATTGTTCTAACTTTCAGTAAGTTTCTCCTTAGTTCTAGGTTCCTTCTTCCTTGATTAGTTTCCATCCGTTGCTTCTTGTCCTGCCTTCAGGCGCTTGGAAAATAGTTTGACTCCCTCTTCTCAGGGGCTGCCACAAAGAAGAGGGGGTCACATTATTCTTCAAAGCACCAGAGGGCAGAATAAGAAATAATGGTTGGAAACTGATCAAAGAGAGAAGGAACCTGGAATTAAGGAGAAACTTCCTAACAGTGAGGTTAATTAATCAGTGGAACAGCTTGTCTTCAGAAATTGTGGGCGCTCCATCACTGGAGATTTTTAAGAAGAGGCTAGACAGTCACTTGTCTGAGATGATATAGGTTCTCCTGCATGAACAGGGGGCTGGACTAGAACAGGGCTTTTCAACCTTCACCCGGCCGCACTCTTCCTCTTGTCCGAGGTTTTCATTGTTGTGAGCATTTCTGTTGAGGATTGGCAGTGTGGGTGGGTGGGGGGTGTTTGGTTTTTATTCCTTCTGCCTGCTGGGTGGTTGCAGCAGGTTTTGGTCACTTCACATGACCCTGGGATACTGTGACTGTCATAAATATGAATCAGTTGCCAAGAATCTGAATGTAAATCACAAGACCCTGGAGATGCTGCAACATTCCAGCTGATCGACGCTTCTTCTGGGTTGAGAAGCGCCAGGATCAGTGCCAAGCTCCAGCTGGAGCCTGGCGCTGATCCTAGTGCTTCCACTGAGCCCTGATAATCCTGCAGCTCCAGCCATCTCTCGCTCAGGCTTGTGGGATGCTGCCACTGGTTCAGCTCATTCCCCTCCCCTGCTACCACTTTTCTAGGATGGCCGCGTACTACCTGCCAGGTGCCAATGTACCACAGGTGGTACCCGTACCACTGGTTGAAAAGCACTGGACTAGAAGACCTACAAGGTCCCTTCCAGCTCTATTCTATTCTAAATAATATTATTGACTTGGGTTTAGTTTAGTACACAAATCTGAAATAAAGTTCTAGTCCAGATTCCTGAAACAGATAAAAGCATTAAGGTTAGTGGAAACATCAAACAACTTCATCCATCCCTCTAAGTCAGAAGACAAATGATTGAAGTTCAAGGAGTGGAATCATAAATAGAAGACTGAGGACTGATAGATAAAAGGAACTAAATGCTACACCTTGTTTCTTCCTGCCAATCTTTTTCCATTTGAAAGACTGTGTCAGAATCCAATTATATTTCATCTCTAGTTATCAACTATGGAAAACCCCATTTCTGCCCTCTCTGGATTCTGGCACACGATGAAGGGGAAGGGAGGTGAACAAAGGGTTTTTATGGCTCTCACTTTCTTCAGTACAACTTCAAAGGGGACTGAATGTGGATACCACCAAAAGAACTATACATAACAATGGGGCCATCAGCTTTCATCTACTCACCTCGGAAGTCTCCGTTCCGCCGGCAGTGAGGAAAAGGGGGTGGAAATGTAATGCCTGGGATTGTCACTGGAAGGATGGTGGGGTGGAGTGGGTTTGCTGGGAACTCCTTAAAACCTTGAACCATAGGGCTTTGCCCCCAAGTCCTGTCTAGAACGCCTGCAACCATTTTCTTTTAATAAAGGATGCCTGTTGGAAGAAATATTCCAAGAGTTCTGTCTCCTTAAGATGCAAAGTGGGGTGGGTCCTTACATTAGACAGGACTTGCAGGATTAGTCTACCTGGAAGGGAGAACCTTGCTGGGGGACTTTACAAAAATTACCATGTCAGATGGCGGAGCAAGGAAGGGAGAAAACTCCCCAGAAAGGGAGATGCTGCCCCAACTGAAACCTTTCCAGATGTCGGGATCTGAGAGGTCAGATTCCTCAGGAGAAGAGGTGGTGGAGACACGAGACCACAAACCTCAGTGGTCAATGGGCATTGGAAAGAAAGGAAAACTTTTACCGCCAATTCATCCCCTCATTTCCCCAGATAGCCCTACCCCTTACGAACTTACTAAAAACGAAGGGAGCATCCTCAGTAAAACCTAGCCAGCCACTAACATGGACAATGGAGTGCCAAGCAGTGTTTGAGAGATTAAAGAGACTTTTCTCTGCCGAACCAGTACTGAGGCACCCAGACAAGGATAAGCCCTTTGTAATACAGGCGGATGCAAGTGATGTGGCAGTGGGGGCTGAAAATGATGAAGGGGTATTGCAACCCTGTGCACATACATCCAAGAAACTCACAGAAATGGAATAGCGCTGGCCCGTATGGGAGAAAGAGGCATACGGGATACGTTGGTCATTACTCGCGTAGTGCCAGTTCCTTGAAGGCAACAAACTCCCCTTCCAGGTGTGGACTGACCACAAAAATTTGGAAGCCCTGAAAACACGCAGGAAGCTCAATCCCAAGCAAGCCCAGTGGTCCCAGAATTTTCACCAGTTCCAATTTACACTCAAGCATTTGCCAGGGGGAAAGAACCCCAATATAACAGCACGCGAGCCACTGACTCTAAACCAATGATAGTAGAATCACAACTGGCAGCACCAGTAACCATCAGAGCCCAAGCTAAATGAAAACCACAGCTGGGCAACCAAACTGGAATCGAATTCCGGAAAAGTTTGGAAACAGATGAATGGTTCCAGAAAAAAAAAGTGTGCACAATGAGAGACGGGCTGCCTTGGGTGGGGGAAAAGTTATATATACCAACAACCCAAAGAGTCACATTCAGGTAGCTTTGCCATGACACAAAATCAGCAGGGCATTTTGGATTTGTAAAAACATTACACTTAATTAAACGGCAATTTTGGTGGCCATCCATAAAAAAGGACATAGAAAGTTACGTGGCCAGCTGCCCAAAGTGTGCAACTGCAAAGAGGTTGCAAGGGAGATCGCCCGGACTGCTACAAACAGTGGCAAATCCGTCAGCCCCCTGGAGGGAAATAGCCATGGATTTTATAGTGGAATTACCAGAAAGCAATGGGAATACTGTTGTCTGGATGGTCACAGACTTGTTTTCCAAACAGGTGCACTTTATCCCTTGCCAAAAGATTCCCACTGCAAAAGCCTTAGCAAAACTTTTCATCCAGCACATTTACAGATTGCATGGGGCACCCCAAAGCATCATCTCTGATAGGGGAGTGCAATTTACGTCTGCATTTTGGAAGGGATTTTTATCCCTCTTAGGGACCACTCTGGGACTGACATCTAGCCATCATCCACAAGGGAATGGTCAAACAGAACATTGTCACACAGTACTTGAGCAATATTTAAGATGTTTTATTAATTTTCAGCAAACAAATTTCCCTTTCGCAGATGTTGCTTACAATAATGCAGTCCACTCCAGCACAGGTTATACTCCTTTTCAAATAGTCAGCGGTCAAAGTTTCAACCCCATGCCAGAATTAAACCCAAACAAACCGGCAATCCCATCACTGAAAGAATGGATGGAACAATTACAAAACATCTGGCCAATAGTTAGAAAAGCACTAGATGAAGCTAGGCAGGCATACAAAGCACAAGCCAATAAAAAAAGGGTTGAGCCTACACCATTCATTATAGGAGAAATGGTGTACTTATCTACAAAATATCTAAAGTCCCTACAACCCTGTAAAAAGCTTGGACCAAAATATATAGGGCCTTTTCCAATTAAAAGAATCATAAACCCAGTAACAGTAGAATTAGAATTACCCAAAAATCTCAGGCAAATACACCCAATTTTTCATTGCAGCTTGCTGAAAAGAGAGCATCAGTCATCGTTACGCCGAAAAATTCCCCCACCACCACCTCCAATCATGGTGGAGGGCGAACAACACTTTGAAATAAAAGAAATCCTAGACTCTAGGAGATATCATGGAGTGAGTCAGTACCTAGTTGCATGGAAACACCTCCCTGCCTCACAAAATGAGTGGGTCCATAAACATCACGTCAGAGCCCCGAAGCTATTAAAGAAGTTACACACATAGTATGCTATAAAGCCTGACTAAATTTTATACCTGTTTTGTTTTTCTTTCAGGTGGATCTATCTTATTTTTAAGGGGGCAGGATGTCAGAATCCAATTATATTTCATCTCTAGTTATCGACTATGGAAAACGCCATTTCTGTCCTCTCTGGATTCTGTCACATGATGAAGGGGAAAGGGGGTGAACAAAGGGTTTTTATGGCCCTCACTTTCTTCGGTACAACTTCAAAAGGGACTGAATGTGGATACCACCAAAAGGACTACACATAACAATGGGGCCATCAGCTTTCATCTACTCCCCCCTGAAGTCTCCGTTCCGCTGGCAGTGAGGAAAAGGGGGTGGAAATGTAACGCCTGGGATTGTCACTGGAAGGATGGTGGGGTGGGGTGGGGTTACTCGGAACCCCTTAAAACCTTGAACCATAGGGCTTGGCCCCCAAGTCCTGTCTAGAACGCCTGCAACCATTTTCTCTTAATAAAGGATGCCTGTTGGAAGAAATATTCCAAGAGTTCTGTCTTCTTAAGATGCAAAGTGGGGTGGGTCCTTACAGACTGAATAGATTTATTTAAAATAGATTTATTTTTTCAAAGTTTTAGAATTGGTCTTACTTTTTATAAGTTTGCCATATGTTTAGGTTTCCTTGAAAACATCCTATTTTTTCCACTTGCACATCTTCAGACAGGAAGAAAAATTATTCTCAGTAATTGAGCCTCAACCGTAAATTTTGGGATCGGTGCTATATAGTGTTCAGAAGGAAACAAGATGCCAAATTTCTACAGTATACTCTAAAAAAAATCACTAGAGCAGGGGTATCAAACTGCCGGCCCGTGGGCTGGATGCGTCATGCTGAAACCACACCCAACCCAAGTTGTGATATGTCATGACACATCACATGACGTTGCAAGTTTGACGCCTCTGCAACTAGAAGTTTATCACATCTCAGAAATTACCACAGACATTACACTTGCAGCACACAAATCAACCAAAATCCTCCAAAACTTCTTAAGTAAATCAAAAGATCCAGGAATCCAAGCATAACATGAGATCTACAACATACAGAGCATCAGCCACTTAGATAGGTTTATATGCAAAAGATGAAAAAACAAACTAAAGACAAACTAAAAATTAGATGATACAATGAAGACTCCATCTCAAGACAGTTTATTGTATGCAAACATTCTAGACCAGTGATGGCGACCCTTTTAGAGACCGAGTGCCCAAAAACTGGTCCCGCCCCTGCTCCACCCACTGCTCCGCCTCTGCCCCACCCTACCCTGCCTACCCGCAGAGCCACTCACCACCTCCAGGGCCTGCTGCAGATTGCCCAGGCAGTTCAGCAGCACCATGGCGGCCACGCTGTCTGCCCACGCCCGCAGCATCAACTGTACATGTTGAGGTGTGAGGGTAGAGTCTTGTCTATGCTGCCTGGCTGCCATGTTCTTGGCTGCACTGCTCTGTGTGGGCCACGCTCAGGGGCGACTCTCCTCCAGGGAGGCTGCTGGTGAGGAGGGGGTCACGGTCAGAGGCAAGGCTGGGGCAATGGCATGTGTGCCCACAGAGAGGGCTCTGAGTGCCGCCTCTGGTACCCATGCCATAGGTTCGCCACCACTGTTCTACACCAAATTAAATCCAAAAATACTAGGAAATGCATAGAATCATGGAATTATAGAGCTGAAATTCCTGGAAGCTTGAATTCAGACAAATCAGTCATCAATAGACAAATAAAAATAAACTACATTATATGTAAACACTATTCATAGAATCATAGGGCTGGAAGCAGCTTTGGAGGTGTTCTACTCCAAATATTTGTTCAATCCCAGTAAAATGGTTGTCCAGTCTATTCTTGAAAACCTCTGGTGATTGAGCACAACTCTGGGAGGCAAGCTGTTCCATTGATTAATTGTTTTAGCAAATTTCTTCTAGATTCCAGGTTGGATCTCTCCTTAACAAGCTTCCACCCATCATTTCTTGTCTTGCTCTCAACTTTGGAGGTTAAGTTGACCCCCTCTTCTCTGTGCCTCAAGTATCAAAAGACAGCTTTCATTCCTAATCCTGTTCCTAATCATGTCATCCCTAATCCCATTTCCATAAATGTTCATCATACAGTTCAGCCTCCAGACCCCTCATGTTTGTTGCTCTTCTCTGCACACATATTAGAATCTTACCTTGATCTTCTTTTTTTATTGTGGTGACCAGAACTGGATGCAGTATTCCAAGTGTACCTTCACCTAGGCAGTGTAAAGCAATACTATTCCTTCCCTCTGTTGATGAAGCTTTGGACTGTGTTGTCTTTTCTGGCAACTGCAGCAAATTGTTGGATCATACTTAAGTAATGGTCCACTAAGACACCTATATCTGTCTTACTACTGTTGAGGCTATTCTATAGCTATACATTTGGTTTCTCGTGGAAAAGTGAACTGCATTTTCTTGGATAGGCCCAATGTTCAAATCTATCAAGATTCTTCTGAATCTTCAGTCTATCTTCCAAAGTATTAGATATCTGATGAGTTCCCCTTCCAGGCCCTCATCTAGATGATTTTAGAGATGTTGAATAGCACTGCTGAATAGAATAGAAACTTGAGGTATCTCACTGCAGGTGGATATAATTCTATGAAGACTACATGCTGGGTGTGATTGGTCAGCCAACTATGAATCCATCTGGTATTGGGACTGGCTATCCCACCATGTTCTTTCTTATCAAGAAGTAGACTGTGGTTTATTTTGTCAAATGCCTTACTGAAGTCCAAGTATACTATGTCACACTATTACATGATTGACTAATTTAGTCACTTTATCAAAGAAGGTAATAAGGTATGTCTGGCATGATCTGTTTTTAATAAATCCTTCTAATAATTAACTTTTCCATTTCTATAAACAAATAGATTGTTTATCTTTTGCAGGATTTTCCCTGGTATTGGTATTAGCTGATTGGCCAATAGTTTCATGGATCCACCCCCCCCCCTTTTTTTGTAATTGGAACCACATCAGCTCTCTTCCAGCTCTTTTCCAATCTTCTAGAAGTTCTCCATGTTACAGGAGCTTTGAAAGATTGCATTCCAAGATCAAGTCTGGCAGCTCCTTCAAAACCCAGAGATGCAAACTATCCCAGAGATATCAAACACAAGGTCCACGGGCTGGATCTGGTCCGCAAAGTGGTTTCATGTGGCCTGTGAAGCCATCCTGAAAACAGCAAGGCCTGGCCAGGAGCCAATGTTGTGGTGGCCATCCATGCTGGAACACATTCAGTTTTAGCTCCACAAAGCCATCCTGGAAATAGCGAGGGACTGGCCCCCGCTGCATCAGCCCCACCCCATGGGCATGTGCTGGGCAGATATCATCCTTTGTGAGAAATGAAGAAATGCACCATTGCCTGGAAGTGGCCAGCAAATGGCCCTCACCTATTTCTCATATCCGGCTTAGTGGGCTCCGGGGGAGGGGACACTGCAAGCAGCATGAGCATCGACATTACCTGTGCAATGCCGCCCAGCCTGCCCGGTATTTACAGGCGGCGGGATGCTCTCACAGCGCTGAGAGGCTGGGCCGGGTGGTGCAAAGCTGGTGAGAAGCACAACACCACCCAGCTCCCAGCCTGTCCGGTTTTGTCAGGCAGCGGGGCGCTCTCCTCACAGTGCTGAGAGGCTGGGCTGGGCAATGCAAAGCTGCTGCCTGCTGAAACCAGGCAGATTGAGAATTAGGCAACATTGTGCTTCTCCTCAGATTTGCACTGCCCAGCTCAGCCTCTCGGCGCTGTGAGGAGAGCACCCCATTGCCTTCCAAAACCGGGCAGGCTGGGCAATATTGTGCTTCTCTTCAGATTCGTGCCACCCAGCTCAGCCTCTTGGCGCTGTGAAGAGAGTGCCCTGCTACCTGCCAAAACTGGACAGGCTGAGGCTGGGCGGCGTTACGCTTCTCATCAGATTCGTGCTGCCCAGCTCAGCCTTTCAGCACTGTGATGAAAGCACCCCACTGCCTACCAAAACCGGGCAGGCTGGGGGCTGGATGCTGTTGCACAGGTAATGTTGACTCTCATGCTGCTCACAGCATCCCCTTCCCCAGAACCCACCAAGCTGTATATGCGAAATAGGCGAGGGCCATTTGCTGGCCACTTCCAGGCAATGGTGCATTTCTTAATTCCTCACAAAGGAGGACAACTCCCCAGCTGCGTTTCTTGCCTGTTTTTTTCCCGTCCCTCATCTCAAATATTTTCCCACCACTCTGTTCTTAGGAAGGAAGGAGATTGGAATGAGAGGGAGGAAAGGTCTGAGGGAAGTCTTGACTTAGTCCTGCCCTGCTGCCCTTTCACCATCCCCTTGCTCCTTCCTCCTGGCCTATCCTGGGGGTCTCCCATCCTATCACTAAGGATGTTTTGGTTACAAAGCCAGGTCTCCTCAGATGGAGAGGGAGTGGGCCTCCCTCTGACTTTGCCCTCGCATCCACTATGAGCAACCTGGCTAAGGAGAGCAAGCACAGCAGCAGCAGCCTTGAGGGTGAGGTAAGTATCGTTGGGCACCCCCTTGGGAAAGTGAGGCTGGGCTTGGTGCCGCAGGAGCTTGAGGGCCAGGTTGGGCATTTCACCTCTGCTGCTCAGGGTTCCGGGCAGCCCGTGCCACTGTCTAGCCCCCCCAGCGTGTCCTGAGAGGGACGGTGAAGGTCCTCCAGTGGATCATGCCCTGGCGTACCCCCGGTCCCACCCTCCTCTGCTGGAGACCCTCGGATCTGCCAGTCCTGCCCAGCCCCCACTGGCACCCCTGATGCAAGCAACATCAAGCTGGCTATACCCTCCCAGTAGGCCACACCCATTCAGCCATGCCCACCCAGTAGACTGTGTCCACCCTGGTCACACCCATCCCACCCCGAGGGCAACCACAATGCTGATGCAGCCCTCTATAAAATTGAGTTTGACATCCCTGATCTATTCCCTGTGATTTGCATTCATCTAGTATTCTGTTGCTTGCCTATTTTGACTTGCATATCTGTTGTATCTCCTTCAGTACTCCTTTTGATAAGTAGGACTATTTCTTCCTTTTGTGTAAAGACAGTTGCAAAGAAAGAATTAAGCAGTTTTTCCCTTCTGCCTATCATCTTCTTGCTACCTACT